GGTGCTTACAATGATCAGCTTTTATTTATATCAAATCTTTTACCCAAAAGCAAAAAAAAAAACTGTTGCTGTAACTGCTTAAAAAGTGTGAGCTGGAGGTCAGCTTCAATTTGTTAGTGTATCTAAATCTGCTAGTACATCTAACACTCCCCTGCCCCAGACTGACAGTGCTGTTGTCCATCGGTGCCCCTGTGCTCATTCATCCAGAGTGGGGGTACTATAATGCAGGAGGTGTGTTACTGGCCATATCACCAGGTGGAAACAGCGAGAAAAGGCCTAAAAAAAAAAAAAACAAATGCAGCCACAACATTTAATGATTCGTAAGCTGCAGTATATTACATTTCTGGTTTCAGGTTTGATAACATTAAGTGAAAGTAAACCCTCCTATCCAGGGCTGTGGATAAGGGGGTACCACCAGTCCTCCTGCAAGGGGGCCCAGGCAGCTGGGTAAATTGGATGTGAGCAAGGAGGGTGATTGGCATGGTGGGGAGGAAGGGCAGTTGCTGGAACCAGTCCCTACATCCCATGCCCCCACAGTGCTGCCGGCTTCCCTCCTCTCCTTTCCACTGGCAGCTGCAAGAACACAATGGCATCCTTCAGGATGCAGAGTGGGGAAAGGTCACATTTATCAGCCCCTTTTTTTCCTGAATGAGTGATTGGTGCTGATCACTCGCTGTGTTCATTCATAACTGAAGCATAGTAAACTTTGTTTTTTTGGGGGGACCCTGTCAGTTTGGCTGTATTGGGCCCTGTGGTTTCTAACAGCAGCCCTGCTTCTGTCCTATAAGGCTGGTTCACACCAGATGCAGTCCAGCGCTTTTTTCCTGCATCAAAAATGCATGCACAGTGCTTTTCATGTTTGCTAATGGCCCTAATTCATACCAGTGCAGTCAGTTCCAGTGCGTTCCGCTGCAGAAAAAAAAAACCAATGTAGAACATGCTGTTTTTTTTCTACACAGAACTGTACTGGAACAAAGGAAAACGCATCAAAAACGCACCACAAAGGAGTGTGATATGAACTATAGGCAAAAACGCTCCCGGAGTGCGTTTTTTGTGGTTTGAACTGGCCATTACAGCCCAGGAAGCTGCCATTTTAGCCTCTGTTTGATCTGCAGTTGCCATGGTGCTGCACATGTGATCAATTATGGCCCCAGTCATTTGATGGCTTGACAGGTCATTTGAGAACACAAGCAACTGTGACATTTAGCATTCACAATATGCCTTTGAACATAACTGTCTTTAGAAACAATTCGATAGATTTAGTTCCACTTTAAAATGAAAAAAAAAAGAAAATGTTGGAATCACGTGATAATTGAAAATTGCAAATTAAATACAGCTGAAATGCAGGTGCAGAGGTGTGAGTGGGCCCTTATACAAAAGCTAAGCAAGATCTATATTCTCCAAAAATAATCCATACACTACCTAATGGCCCTGTAAACTATTTTCATGAAATTGTTTCTTACTGTGTTCTTCTGCCACCTTGCAACATCCTCCGTGAACTCCTAAACCTCTCCTTTCACCTCTCACTTTGTTTGGAACAAGCAGTGCACACTAAGCCCTGATTCACATCTGTGTGGGTGGTGCCACTGTGGATCCGCATGAAAAATCCGTGCAGCCGCACCACCCGCACAGAGGAATGCAGACCCGCGGGCGGGTGCCATTAGTTCTAATGGCACGCCGCCCGCACTGGAAAACGCAACCATACTGGGAACCTAGGTTCCCATGCGGGCTGCATTTTCAGAAGTGCAGGGACTTCTTCCCTGCGTGTCCCGGGGCATGGGAGTCCATTCAAATGAACAGGCTCTCGTGCCCGCGCAAAACACGTCCCGCACGCCCGCATATACAGTATGTGAACCAGAGGTACTTGGATTCACACTGCTCTATACACACTACACATTACATAGTCCATCTCAGAGCGTGCAAGAGAAGGTGGCTACATTCCTACATACAGTACTGTACAGTGGAACCATGGAGAACGAATGTAGCCACCTTCTTAGAGAAGAAGACAGATCACAGCAGCAAAAAAAAAAAAAGGAATGTGGAGATTTGGAGGTGGCTAAGAGCAATAGAAGGGAGTTAAGATTACATATAGTACATGAATAGAATATATATTTTTGTAAATCACAGTTTAGAGCAGTGGTTCTCAACCTTTCTAATGCCGCGACCCCTTAATACAGTTCCTCATGTTGTGGGTGACCCCCAACCATAAAATTATTTTCATTGCTACTTCATAACTGTAATTTTGCAGTGGGAGGAGTAGTGCCATGTCATTGGTGTCAGTGGAAGGAGTAGTGCCCCATCACTGATGTCAGTGGGATGAATAGTGCCCTATCACTGATGTCAGTGGGAGGAATAGTGCCCCATCACTGATGTCAGTGGGATGCATAGTGCCCCAATCGTTTGGTAATCAGTGGGAGGAATAGTGCCCCATCACTGGTGTCAGTGGGAGGAATAGTGCCCCATCACTGATGTCAGTGGGATGCATAGTGCCCCATCGTTGGTATCAGTGGGAGGAATAGTGCCCATCACTGATGTCAGTGGGGAGGAATAGTGCCCCATCACTGGTGTCAGTGGGAGGAATAGTGCCCCATCAAGGTGGTGTCAGTGGGAGGAATAGTGCCCCATCGTTTGGTGTCAGTGGGAGGAATAGTGCCCCATCGTTGGTGTCAGTGGGAGGAATAGTGCCCCATCGTTGGTGTCAGTGGGAGGAATAGTGCCCCATCGTTGGTGTCAGTGGGGGGAATAGTGCCCATCGTTGGTGTCATGGTGGGAGGAATAGTGCCCCATCGGTTGTGGGAGGAATAGTGCCCCCATCATGGTGTCAGTAAGGAGGAATAGTGCCCCATCGTTGGGTGTCAGTGGGAGGAATAGTGCCCCATCGTTGGATGTTCAGTGGGGAGGAATAGTGCCCATCGTTGGTGTCAGTGGGAGGAATAGTGCCCCATCGTTGGTGTCAGTGTGGAGGAATAGTGCCCCATCGTTGGTATCAGTGGGAGGAATAGTGCCCCATCGTTGGTGTCAGTGGGAGGAATAGTGCCCATCGTTGGTGTCAGTGGAGGAATAGTGCCCCATCGTTGGTGTCAGTGGGAGGAATAGTGCCCCATCGTTGGAGTCAGTGGGGAGGAATAGTGCCCCATCATTGGTGTCATTGGAAGGAATAGTGCCCCATCATTGGTGTCAGTGGGAGGAGTAGTGCCCCATCATTGGGTGTCAGTGGGGGGAGTATAGTAGTGCCCCATCATTGGTGTCAGTGGGGGGAGTAGTGCCCCATCATGGTGTCAGTGGGAGGAGTAGTGCTCCATCACTGGTGTCAGTGGGGGAGTAGTTGCCCATCACTGGTGTCAGTGGGGTGGAGTAGTGCTCCATCACTGGTGTCAGTGGGAGGAATAGTGCCACATCATTGGTGTCAGTGGGAGGAGTAGTGCCCCCTCATGTGTGTCAGTGGGAGGAGTAGTGCCCCCATCACTGGTGTCAGTGGGGGGAGTAAGTGCCCCATCATTGGTGTCAGTGGGGGGAGTACCCCCCATCATTGGTTGTCAGTGGGGGGAGTAGTTGCTCCATCACTGGTGTCCAGTGGGGGAGAAGTAGTGCCCCATCACTGGTGTCAGTGGGAGGAGTATGTGCTCCATCACTGTGTCAGTGGGAGGTATAGTGCCACATCATTGGTTGTCAGTGGGAGGAATAGTGCCCATCATTGTGTCAGTAATGTGGGGGAGTAGTGCCCCATCATTGGTGTCAGTGGGGGGAGAATTGCCCCATCATTGGTGTTCATGGGGGGAGTTAGTGCCCCATCATTGGTGTCAGTGGGGGGAGTAGTGCCCTCATCATTGGTGTTCAGTGGGGGGATTAGTGCCCCATCATTGGTGTCAGTGGGGGGAGTAGTGCCCCATCAATGGTGTCAGTGGGGAGTGGTAGTAGTGCCCCATCCTTGGTGTCAGTGGTGGGGAGTAGTGCCCCATCATTGTGTCAGTAGTGGGGGAGTAGTGCCCCATCATTGGTGTCAGTGGGAGGAATAGTGCCCCATCACTGTGTCAGTGGGGGGAGTAGTGCCCCATCATCTGGTTTGTCAGTGGGAGTAGTGCCCCATCACTGTGTCAGTGGGAGGAATAGTGCCACATCATTGGTGTAGTGGGGAGAATAGTGGCCCATCATTGGTTGTCAGTGGGAGAAATAGTGCCCCATCATTGATGTCAGTGTGGTGGAGGGGAAGAGATAGTGCCCCATCATTGGGGTCAGGGGGGGGGGGGAATAGTGTCCCCATCGTTGGTGTCAGTGGGGGGAGGAATAGTGCCCCATCATTAGGTGTCAGTGGGGGAGGAATAGTGCCCATCATTGATGTCAGTGGGGTGGAGGGGAGAATAGTGCCCCATCATTGGGGTTCAGGGGGGGGAAATAGTGCCCCATCGTTGGTGTCAGTGAGGGGGAGGAATAGTGCCCCATCGTTGGTGTCAGTGGGGGGAGGAATAGTGCCCATCGTTGGTAACTCCCAGTGGGGGAGGAATAGTGCCCCATCGTTGGTGTCAGTGGGGGGAGGAATATTGCCCCATCGTTGGTGTCAGTGGGGGAGGAATAGTGCCCATCCGTTGGTGTCAGTGGGGGGGAGGAATAGTGCCACACATTGGTGTCAGTGGGGGAGGAATAGTGCCCCATCGTTGGTGTCAGTTGGGGAGGAATAGTGCCACATCGTTGGTGTCAGTGGGGGGAGGAATAGTGCCACATCGTTGGTGTCATGGGGGGAGGAATATGCCCCATCGTTGGTGTCAGTTGGGGGAGGAACCATTGCCCCATCGTTTGGTGTCAGTGGGGGGCAGAATAGTGCCCCATCGTTGGTGTCTAGTGGGGGGAGGAATAGTGCCCCATCGTTGGTGTCAGTGGGGGGAGGAATAGTGCCCCATCGTGGGTGTCAGTGGGGGGAGGAATAGTGCCCCATCGTTGGTATTAGTGACACAAATGATGGGGCACTATTCCTCCACTGACACCAATGATACTTACTTGCTGACCCCTGCTCCAGCCCTGGGCTCGCTCTCTCACTTACCTGTCAGCTCAGTCTCTTCCTTCTCTGGCCGCACTCCTCTTCACTTGCTCCGCAGCTCCCTCGGTCACTTCTTTGACTGTAACGCTGCGCTGCCGCTCTCGGCTCCGCCCCCCTAACCTCCTCTCCAAGCTCCACCTCCTCGCCAGTGATTGGCCGCCTGTGTGCCAAAACTCCTGAGCTACAGTTCCGGTGGCCAATCAAGCGGCGAGGAGGCGGAGCTGCTAGCGATCCCGGAGGTGTGGCCAGGTGACAGCAGCGTATCATCCCGCCACCACATCCGCCGGAGACTGCAGGCGGTGTCTCGGTTTTCCTAAGACCAATCGGAAATATGTGTTTTCCGATGGTCTTATGGCGACCCCTGGGAAATGGTCGTTCGACCCCCAAAGGGGTTTTTGTTTTTTTTGACACCCCAGTTTAGAACCGCTGGTTTAGGAGTCTCTTTAACCTATCCCGCAATAAGACTTTGCCTCTCCTTTTCCCTGTTGCAAGCCCTGCCCACCTTGTGACCAAGCCCCCCCCCCTTATTTGTAGAAGCCTTTTTAATATGTTGTACCAACATTACACTGAAAAACAAAAATATTTTATTTGTTAATCACATTTTATTTCATCCAATGTTTACAGATTTGCATGCTTAATATAATCTTTGTTATTTAAATATGGAAGATTTTATTTTAGAAAAAGCTTTATGGTAGAATTGCTCTGCTGTGTGTCCAGGAAGATATAAAAAAAAAAAATACACAAGCTAATACAGCACTAGATTTGTTAAATATACAGTATAATTTATTTTTAATTAACCACTTGCCCTCCTGAGGATTTACCCCGCCCCCCACTTCCTGACCAGGCCATTTTTTGCGATACGGTGCTACGTTACTTTAAATGACAATCGCGTGGTCATGCAATGCTGCACCCAAATTAAATTTATATCCTTTTTTCCCCACATATATAGAGCTTTCTTTCAGTGGTATTTGATTGCCTGTGCGGTTTTTATTTGTTGCACTATTAACAAAAAAAAGACCGACAAGATTGAGAAAAAAAACAATATTTTTGACTTTTTGCTATAAAACATGTCCAGTAAAAAAAAAAAAAAAAAAATCAAATTTCGTCATAAATTTAGGGCAAAATGTATTTCTGCTACAACATGTCTTTGCTAAAAAAAAAATCCCAATACATGTAAATTAATTGGTTTACATGAAAACGTTACAGTGGTTACAAATGGCGGTATATATACTGGAATTTTTTTAATTTTTTTTTTTAATTAGTAATGGCAGCAATGAGCAACTTATAGTGGGACTGCGGTGGGCATTCTCACAGTAGGGGGAAGTGACTTGGTGTCACTGACATCCCAGTGACACCAATACAGTGATCAGTGCTAATAAAAAGCACTGACCACTGTACTAATGGCACTGGGCAGGAAGGGGTTAACATTTGGGGCGATCAAAGGGTTAGCTGTGTGCTGTTTTACTGTGAGGCTGTGTGCTGTGTTTCACTGTAAGCACACTGCTTTGTATGGCTCTGCTAAGCAGAGCCATACAAAGAAGTGTGCAGGAGCTGACAGGGGAGAGATCTGTGTTGTTTATACACAGGTCTCTCCCCCATTGGAGATATTCACTCTGTGATCACAGGGTGCCAGGCGAGAAATCACAGGCTGGGACCCGGTGATTGACAGCCATGGCTGCGAATGCCGGCACGTGCCCCCTACCCGGAACTGCAAAATCACACATATATATATATATATATACACATTATACATACACACACACACAAACACACACATGATTTTGCGCAACCATGCCACCCTGTAGCAGTATTTTCTGCTATAGGGCGCTGCGGAAACGGTTAAAATTTCCATGGAGTTGCCTTGAAACCAGCGTTTTGCAGTACCTATCTATACAGCATAGCCCAGACTAGGAGAAGGAAAAAAAGCACAAGGAGCCAATCAGTAGTGTTGCAGTGAAATAAGAGCATGCTGATAGGAGGAGAAAGCAGAAAGATGAGCTCATCAATGTGCTGCTTCTCCTTTCACTGTCCAGTCACAAGCTGAGGCAGACAAGACCTGTGAGTGCAATGCCACAAAGGCTGATTACAATGTCCGTGTGGTTTGCAGTGATAATAAGCAAAGAAGAGCCAGGTACACAGGTATTACCTATGGCTGCTCCATGTAAACCAGCTTGAACCAGGAAGGAAATGAAAAACAGCAAAACATAGACCTGTATGTGTAACGTAACTGCATCAGAAAAAACTCAGGTCTTCTGTTATGCCAGACAGAGCTGTGCTGTGTGGTAGAGCTGTGTAAACCTCAGGAGTGGATGTACAGAAATATACATCTATGACAGATGAAACAGTTCCCATTTATGTGCAGTATTTCATTTGCATTTTCACTGTTTGCCTGGACTTCAGTTTTAAGTGATGAGTGATGAAAGGTCTGTCTGCTCCTATTGTGCCGGTAAAGTCCTGGCAAAGTACATTGCAATGCATATATTTACTCTGGGCCTTGTGGCAGTTTTTACAAGAGCTTTTCCATTGCTGTCTGCAGGGATACAGAAATGACTGATTATTTTAACTTCTTTCACTTTGTAAGCACATGAATGGCATTTATCTGTATTGGACTCTCCACTGTGAGTAATCGGATTATATCCGCGTCATGAATTTTCTCATTGCTGATATCCATGCATAAGATAATGGGGTTCCAAAAAAAAGGATGGAAACAAGAAGGAAATGCTTACTAGACAACTTATTACAAATTGCCTGCTTTGTGTGTGCTTTTCTGCCTGTAAGTTTGTTCTTTTCCTAGCTGAGAGTAGAGGATGGGGAAGACCAGCTGCACATTGCAATCCTTTCATATCACATAATTTCTCAACAGATGTATGTTTGGAGCTTGGCCATCAGCATGAGTAAATGAAGTCCAAAATTCCCCGGAAAGTAACCCAGTCACCATAGAAAATGGTTTAAATAAGAAGTATCACTTTTTGTACAATACTTTGTGTTCTGATAAAACAAAATATATAGTACTTTGCCCTATCTGCCTAAGTACCTTGTAACTGTAGGACGCACCTGATACTGTAGCTAGCAAAGAGAAAGCTACTTTGCTAACAAGCATTTCTCCAGCTCCAGCACTTGCTAGACCAGGGTTTCTAAGTCAGGCTTCCTTGGAACCTTACGGTTCCTCCAGAGGTTGCTTAGGGGTTCCTTGAGCAATGACCAAATTCTGCCTCTTACTCTTAGTGAGTAACCACTGACACAATGATCTTTTTAGCTATCTATAAGTGGAGAATTCTAACCAATGACCACAAATGTAAGGAGCATTCTTCCCACTGACCATCAAACTAATGTATTGTGAGCTGTAGATATAATCATTATTAGCTGAGGTTCCCTGAAGGCCAAAAGGTATTTCAAGGGTTCCTCCATGTTAATAAGGTTGAGGAAGGCTGTGGTAGAGGCAAGCACAAGCAAAGGGAATGCAGAGGGAGGTAAGGTTGACATGTCTGCTGGGGCGGACTGACAACTCATGGGGCCCCCGGGCAGTAGGGGCTCATGGGGCCCCTGTGTCCTTGCCCAAACTCAAAAAAGCCTATGAAACAAGGTACCAGGGGCATCTCATGGGGCCCTCTACTGACCCCGGGCCCTTGGGCAGTGCCCGAGTTTCCAAATGGTCAGTCCTCCCCTGCATGTCTGCATTCCTCTTGCCCCTAATGTAAATAAATATAGACCCCTGTAAAGCTGATCTAGAACACATGGTGCTTGATCAGCTTCTTCCCCAGCCAGCGCTGCCAAGGATTGACTGCTATGAACCTGAAAGTGAAAATTTTTTGTGACTTCCAGGTTCATTCACTGGATGGGAGATCAGTGAACAGACATTCACTATGTTCCACCCACAAACACCAACCATGCCCATTCCAAGCTGACAGGAGGGGTGGTGGAGCCTGGGATACATAGCAGAAGCTTGGGGGTGAATCACTTTCAACAGAAAGCAATTGACTTGACAGTAGGAATTCAGTCCCAAATGTGTTTAAAATCCCTTGCTACCAACCACCATTTATAAACAGCTCTGGTAGACAAGTGCTTAAACCATACCTGGAAAAAAGGAGTGCTGCCCCTGCCACAAAACTCTATGATCCTGAGCATTCAGAAGGAAAATTGGCTGGGGGTGTCAATCTCCTGGGTCCTCCAAAACTCTCTCCGGTTTCTCCCTCTGACCTCTATTCATCAATAGAGACAGTAGAGTCATGGAGATCAGCAGGAGGAACCAGTGAGATTTGCAAGGTTCCTAGGAGATTGACACTTCTGGAAGTGTGGGTATACCTTATGGAAGAAGATTTCCCAGTTTAGGATCTGTGTTCAGCAGCACAGGCAGCATGAATGGTGTGCATTTACATTCGTATTCCGCAGGTATGCTTCAATCCACACATTTTATATAGCGTCAGGGTCGCTTTACCAGGTCATACAATCTGCGTCTTGGTACTGAATACAATAAAGATTGAAATAGCACAGAATTGCATTTTCTAAGGCCTCATTCACACTTTGCAAATTGGAATTGCTGGCAGAATTTCCCTGTTTCTAAACAACATGGCAATCGCTACACAATGCATGATATGTATTTGAGTGCCATTATATCTCTCTCGTCTAGGCAATAGGACCAGAAGCTATGGTGTAAAGTGAATATTTTTTATTGTTTTATTTAAATTTTTTTCGCTAGTTTTTGTTGTTAGGCTTAAATTAGCGTTGCTTAATTTGGGCAATGATTGTGAGGCTAGAAAACCAGCAGACTAGTGATGTGCATTACCTGGAATGTAGCTTCTGTTCTCTGCTATCAGTTACTTTCAGCATCAGTCAAGATCTGGTTTGTCTAGTTTCCTCTTGTTGACTTGTACAGTATATGTAAATGCAAAGTGCATGTTACACCCAGTGCTTGCCTCTTCAGATTCATACACCAGGCAAAGTGCTGTCACCCCTGTCAGCAAAGAGCTATCTGTACAATTAGACAGTGCAGGGTCAGATATAGCAAATGCAGGGGCGGACTGACCATTTGAGCACTCAGGCACTGCCCGAGGGCCCGGGATCAGTAGGGGGCCCCATGAGATGCCCCTGGTACCTTTCATTGACTTTTTCATAGGCTTTTTTGGGTGTGGGCGAGGACACAGGGGCCCCATGATCCCCTGTTGCCCAGGGGCCCCATGAGTTGTCAGTCCGCCCTTGAGCAAATGCCATTTTTCTGAACATAGAATGATGCGATCACTAATCGCTAGTGCTCG